GAGTATTATTCCTAGCAGGTGTTTTTATACGAAACTCAAGGTGAGGGCGGGGCCCGGGCGTGGCATCAAGCGGGTTTTCTACCCTCCCACCTGCTCCTGATTGGCCGTGAGTTTTGCCCTCTCTTCCGCTGGTTGGCGCAGGCGCTGGCTGGGGGTGATCTGCCCGCCCCAGGAGTTACCTCCAGGACTGGGCACCCGGGCGTCCTTGTCCTTCACACCCCTCGAACTCGGCCCCCACCTCCGCCTCTTGAGCGCTGGGCTAGTCCCCAACCGTCCCCGTGCGCGACCCTGCTCCAGACCCCGCTCCAGCACGTCCTCCGCGGCCACCTGTTCCTGTCTCTGTCCTTGGCGAGGGACGCTGCTGGCTCCCACCAGTCCCCACAGCGGCTGGGATCCCTGCTGCCACCAGTTCCACCGAGATGCACCCCGGGCGAGACTAGGTCCTCTGAGGTCAGGCCCGGCCGCTCGCAGGCTGTCCCCACCCCCAGCTCGTGTTCTGCTGTCCTGGGCGGCAGGCTCGGGTGCATTCAGACCGTGAATTTCTCCGGCGTGGATAACGGTGTACAGGTTGCTGCCTGAACCCTGAAGACTCCGACCACACGCTGGTAGTCGTGGAATCCCAGCAATCTGGGATTCTTAACATAAAAAGAGCTCAGTGAGGAGGCCTTGGGTTCAAAACCTACTACTGAAAAACAAAAACTAGCCCACATCTTGAACCAAAACTAAAAGGCCAGACGTGGGCCGGCCCTCTCCTCTCCCTGCTGCAGGCTCCTTTCTAGGAGCCACAACCCACGCAGGGGCGTGAACTGTTCTCTCTGGGATCCCAGCAGGTCCCATGGGCGATGTGGTGCTGCGTTGGGAACCTCAGCCATCTCACGTGGGACAGCGCCTGTGGGTCCCTCTCCCCAGGACTCAGGAAGTCCTGTCACCCTCTCTCAGATCACCTGGGACAGCCAAGCAGACAGCGCAGGCTCTGCTGCACCTGCCAGCTTCTGGGCCCGGGACACACTGCCAATGTCACCTGCCCCCATCCGGGCACTGCAGCCTTCCACCTCATTCTGGAGCATGTGGGCTTTGGGGGATGTTTTTTTCTTTCAATACCAGGGATTGAACGCCGGGCCTTTGCACTGAGCTACAAAAATGGCTAAATTACCCAGAATGGGCTGGAACCTGAGTTCTGGGAGTACAGGTATGGGCCGGCATACCCAGCTAACACTTTTTCTTTCAGGGGGGTTAAGGATTGGGACAGATTCAACTCTGGTTCAGAGTGGCCTTGAACTATGTAGCCCAAATTGGCCTCAAACTAGCAGCAAGCCCTCCTGCCTCAGCCTCCTGAATGCTAGGATTACAGGTGTGCACCACACTAAGGCTCCCTCACTTTTTCTCCATGTAGAACTCCTGGGCACAAGGTCTCCTACGTAACATCGCGTTTTCCTGCTTCCTGTTAGCTCAACGCAGCCATGCAACTCCATCCTGATCCACAGGATGTGAGGGGAGGTAAAGGTTGTCAGTTCAGAGCTTGTGCGTATGTATGTATGTTCTGCTTTTCTGAGACAGGGTCTTGCTATGTGGGCCAGGCTGGCCTTGACCCCACCCACCATGCCCATCACCTACTGACCAGCTTGGATTCTAAACAAAGAACTTCCATCTTGTCTCTCTTAAAGCAACTAAATCTAATGAGTGCCTAACAAATCAAAGCTAATCAGGGTTTCTCCCACTTCATTTGAGGCCATCAGAAGGAGCCGAGCCTACTGGTCCACAAGGCTTGATTTTTGGAGTAGTTACTTCTCTGCTCTCCTGTCTCTTCCCAAGAGCTTCTCAGGAAGAGCATGGAAGCTGCACACTGGAGCATACGCCTGTGACCCCCAGCACTCAGGAGGCTGAGGCAGGAGGATTGCTACAAGTTCCATGCCAGCCTGGACTCCAAAGTGAGTTCAAAGACAGCTTGAGCTACCTGCCTCAGAGAGAGAGAAGAGGGTGAATATCTTTCATTTCTGAGGAAGCTGCTACACTAGGTAGGGTCCCTAGCAGATCTGCCACAGATGCTTGTCACAGGCTCAGTGGCAGGAAGGTACGACGCAGGGGTGGGGAGAGAGGCTGCTCTGCGTGGGGTGACAGCTCGCACTTTACTCCACTGAAGGACAAGGACGTAACACTGGAGAGGGAGCAGCGCCCACACAGCTCGGGCTGCCCTCTGGGAGACGGGGACGCTCTGCCCCGCCTGCAGTCACTCATAGATCCAGTCCTGGGCGCAGCTTCTGTAGTCCACCAGCTCCTCTGGCTGGAACCACAGGCCGATCTCCTTCTCCGCACTCTCCACCGAGTCGCTGCCGTGGATGATGTTCCTGGGCGGGCACAGAGGGGAGGCATGTGGGGACCTGGCCCGACTCCCCAAGAGGGACTGCAAACACGGACCAAGAAAAGTAAAATAACTGCAACAATAACCCAGCCTCACCAGGAGAGGAGTCTGAGCTGCGCCCCCGTGGTGGAGGAAGAGCTCCGGCAAGTCTCAGTGGGGACAGCCTCAGGGAAGACCCTGCCCGGGGCCTGTGCTCTCAGAGGCACAGGACAGGGACGATGGCCCCACAGAGGAAGACAGGAGCTGGGATCTCAAATCCTTCTGTACCTGCTGAAGGGTTCTCCAGCCCCGAGCACACCCAAATTCTGGGGCAGCGACTGGGCTTTGAGAAAGGGCCACAGCACCCACACCCACCTGCCAACTTGGATGCAGAAGTCCCCGCGGATGGTGCCCGGCTTGGAGTCAGCGGGGTTGGTCTCGCCCAGCATCACACGGCCCGTCTTCACCACGTTCAGCCCCTCCCAGACCTCAGGGACAAAGAGACACATCAAGGAGAGCCCCGGCGGACACCCTGACCACTGTGCACTTTAGGACAGGACATGGAAAAAGCACCACGAGACACCTACTTAACCCAGGCTCACGGACATCCACCTGTCTGGCCCGGCCCATCCTGATCCACTCACGCACCTAACATCTTTCCTACCCCCGAGCTTCGGCCACCTCCCCCTTCCTACACTTCACAAACCAAGCACCTCCCGCCCCAGGTCTTTTGCACAGGCCACCTGTTCACTCGCAACCGCTCCTCGCTGTGATTTTGTACACGGTAGGCTTCCTTCATTCAGATCTAACTCAGAGTCACATCTGTGACCCCCTGATCTAAGGTGCTGTCACGGTTACCACACAGCCCGAGGTCACTAACCCTCAGCTGACACGTGGAGCAGTTCTTTCACTGTCTGCCCAGGCTTGCCCTCTTCCAAGCCGCACAGGCAAGATCTAGGGCTGTAGCTCCATGGCAGAGCTCTTGCCGTGGATTCACTCCCAGGACTAAGGAAAAAAAACATTCTGGGCTGGGGACACAGCTCAACAGTGGAGCACTTGCCTAGCACTTGTGGTCCTGGGTTCTAAACCCAGTACCAGAAAAATGAATTATTTTTCTGAGACATGTTTTTTTTTAAAATTGTATTTTTTGTTTGTTTTTGTTTTTTGTTTTTTTGGTACCAGGGATCGAACTCGGGTCCCTGCACTTGCAAAGCAGGCGCCAGAACCACTGAGCTAAATCCCAGGCCCTCTGAGACATGGTTTTGCTATGTAGCTCAGGCTGGCTTTGAACTCCCTAGGTGGCCCAGGCTGGCCTCAAACCTGCGATCCTCCTGCCTCTGCTTCCCTCAGTACAGGAATGACAGGCTTAAATGTAACCTTCCTTTGGTGGGTCAGAGAGCTGCCTCACCCTGTGACCATCCAACCTGCCAACTCCTCTCCTCTGCAGCCATCAGCACAGGGTATACGATGCAGGACCCCAGCCCTCTCTTCCCTACTCCTGACGGTGTCACTCACCATGGCGACCACTGGCCCCGAGTGCATGTACTGCACCAGGCCGGGGAAGAAGGGGCGCTCCTTGAGGTCAGCGTAGTGCTGCTTGAGCAGGTCCTCCGAGGCCTGTTCACAGGATGAGAACGAAAACCAGCCAGCCACTCTTCCACCCATCCTGCTACCATCTGATGCCTCTTTCAGTTCTGTGATGCAGGGTCTCACTATACTTTAGCGCAGGCTGGCCTCAAACTCACACTGGTCTTCCTGCCTCAGCCTCCTGAGTGCTGGAATCATAGGTGTGCGCTACCACGTAGCAGCACATCCTGCTATGTGTACACCCTGCCGGCAGCTCCCTGGTGTGCTCTCACCAGCAGATCCCTGCCCCACACTGAGGGGGCCAGTGAGAGGCACTCAAGTGCTTCTGCACTTTTGAGCCAATTTCCTCCTCTTGGCCTTGAACGAGCAGAGGGAAATAACATTAGGATCAAAGCCAGCACCTCATGTTTGACAGAAAAGCTCAACTACCTCTCTCATCTGGTATAGTTCTGAGACCACTTCTACACGTTTTCCATCTGATTTATGTTTGGAGGGTTTGGGGAGGTTTTTTGAGACAGGGTTCCACTGTGCAGCTTAGGTTAGCTTTGAAATTGAGGCAATCCTCCTGCCTCAGCCTCTTCCAGAGGGCTTGGATCACAGACATCACACTTGGCAACAGTCTTCCCTTGTGAACAGGAAGGGCCAAGGGAGCTGTACAATTGTACTCGGGCCAATGGTGCCCAACCAATGCAGCATTCGGCAGCAAAGTGCCCAGGGCCCTCCCCCAGGGTTCTTCACATGAAGCCCTGTGTCAGTGCTGAAGAATAAACGGGGCGCACTGCGCGGGACACGTGGAGTTAGGCCGAGAGCACCGAATCCACTGAGTCTTGGTTCCACCCGGCTCTGTTCTGTTTGCCGCTGCGGCCATGCTTGCTGGGGTCTGGCAGGGCCCTGTCCCCAGTCACGTGACGATGCACCACGGAAACACCGCACCCTTCAGGCACGCAGGGACACGGAGATCGGCTGCCTCGAGCCTGGCCAGGCGTTCTGCCCTTCAGCTGCTGCTGGTCCCCACTCACCGAAGTGTCAGCGCTTGGTGCTAAACCTGCTAGCCCTTGTCCCTGCCAACCCACATGGAAGACGTGCGCAGCGAGTCTCAGGACAACGGCAACTGGCCTCCGGGTTTTCAGTTGTAATTTTTTTGTGAGTATATGATCACCACACATAATATGACATTCATCCCGGGGAAATGGCACAAATAACAAAACGTCGTCATTTTGGGGGGTGGGGTGGGGGGGTTACCAGGGGTCGAACTCAGGTCCTTGCGTTTGCGAAGCAGGCAGTAAAACCACTCAGCTAAATCCCCGGCCCCGACGTTATCATTTTTCACTTCCCTCCTCCACAGGGTCTACCACCCTTTCCTATCATCTTTATTTTGTGTTTTTTGGTTTTTTGTTTTTAAGACAGTCTCAATGTTTGGTCCAGGCTGGCCTCAAACTCATGGAGATCCTCCTGCCTCAACTTCCCCCGTGCCGGGATCACAGCCACGTGCCATCATCCAGTTTACTTCGCTCTTTAAATTACTCATACGCTAGGTTTCTCATACCCTTCTGTGTCTGCTTTATCTGGCTGAGCATCACTGTCTCGAGGTGCATCCTGACCTTCCCTACAAGAGCTTTCATTCAGTTCTGTTAATTGGTTCCGTTTATCCTCAGTCTGTAAAACAGACCATGGCTGGTGCGGAGCCCCAAGACTTCCCTTGCCTGCCGTCTCGCTGGCAACCTTTAGAGTCATGGCTGCCTCCCACGGTCCATTTGAAAGTCAGCGTAAAGGAAAAGAATGCCTGCACTTTGGGGTTGAAGAGACCAAACTCCCATGTGCCTTTCTGCCTGTGTGCACTTAACTCCTCCCAGCCTCAGTCTCCCCACACATGAGAATAGGAAAGAGCTGAGCCCAGCTCACGGGAGATGCGTGCACAACAACTGTTCCTCTCATTTCACCTCCAAAATCGAAGAAACACGCAAACCCACTGTTCATCCAGCGCCCGCCTGGCTCATTGTTCTGCCAACTCTGCACTCAGCATTCACCACGATTGTTTTGTGTGTTTTTTTGAGACAAGGTCTTTTTTATGTACTGCAAATATACTACTATACTAGTAGAAATAAAAATGAAAAAACAAGGACAAAGGTTAACAAAAGTCAACCCTAACCTATCACAGGAAGTAAGAAGCAAACTAAACTAAATTGAAAGTGAAGTCCAGCGAATATAATCATTATGTACTGCAAATATGGACTAATAAAAGTTTAAAACTTTTTGTCTAATATATAAAGTACAGTATAAGGAGCCAAAGTTGATCCCTTTAATGGGAAAAAATACCACGCCCTCCCTATTTGACTTAAAAATATGAATAATCGTCTCCTGAGTTTTTTGTTTTGTTTTATTTTTCTTTCTTGGATTTGTTTGAAGAAGGTTCTCGGCCAGTAAGTCCTTTGCATTTATTGAAAGGCTGCTGTGCAGATGTCTTGCAGATATGCCCAGAGAGCTGTCCAAAAAGAAAAAGCACAGTTTCCCCCTCCAAAGTCCCAAGGAGGCCTGATATATCCTGGACACTAAGTAGCACTAACTGATAATGCAGACTTTGATGAAAAAAAAACAAAAACTCCTTCAAGGGAAGGGCAGGGTTCTAAAATGATCTGTTCACAAGCACAAGGACACTAGTTCGATTCCCGATACACCGCTGAGAGAAAAGACCATTTTTCAAAGCCCCAAGTAACTTGTCTGCTCCAGAATTAAGCTAAGATACTAGGTCACTGGGGGCCCAGGTTTCAAGACATTTGTTCTACTGTGGAATAGTCTAAAAAGGGGAGAGAGGGGCAAACATGGGAATTAGTCTACAGCGATCCCCTATACCATGAAGGAACCCATGGAAACAGCCAAGCCCACTTACCTGCATAAGTTTCAAAGCAACAAGGCGGAAGCCCTTTTGCTCAAAACGCTTGATGATGTCTCCTACAAGTCTCCGCTGGACGCCATCGGGCTTGATGGCTATGAACGTCCGCTCCCTGTTGGCCATGGTCCTGGGGACAGGAAGACGGGATGAGAGAGCACTGGATCCCTGCCTACACCTTTATCCTTCCCAAGCCAATTACTCCATAAGGCCAATTGAAAGCTGTCATGCCTACCCCGAGTCTCCTTCATGCTATCCAGTTCCTCCCAGTCAGCTCATATAGGAACTAATACCCCAGGCAAGGAAGGGTCCACAGCAGAGACTAATTCCTATCCACTTGATGGAATGAGCTTCTATTATGCACTTACTGTATACCTTATACTGACACAAAAGGAAATGCAGAGTAAGCTACCTATCATCTTTCTCAGCAATAACCCAGGCTGGTGAAAACGGCACTGATGTGGTTTTACTAACGGGGAAGTGCAATCTGGTACAAGATGATTTGAAACACAGTTTGCTGTCACAGCCTGGACAGCAGAACAGGAAGGGGTGTCAGGGACTGGGTCACCACGACCCCTTTCATTCTGCAAAGGACTCGGAACCAGAGCTCCAGAATGGAACCCAACTATATGCTATTCGGGCTACACCTTAAAATGTACTGCAAGTCGTGAAAAGCCAATCAACAGAGGGCCTGAGAGAGTCAGGGCCACTATCAGTAAGAGCGGATCTCGCTGCGCAGAAGGAGCCCGGCAGCTTGGGCAGAGAGGACCTGCCGGACACAGTCTCACAGCAGAAGAGGCAGCCTCACCTTGAAAGATGATCCCTAAGGAGACAGCAGCAGCACCTCGGGGCTCTTCCGTCCCGAAATGGATTCACCTCTGAACACAGCACCTGAATTAACACCCCTGTGACCTGTCACGGGACACCTGGACACAGGACTTAGCCTCCAACCAGATAAAGGCTACGTGATCGTCCCTCCACTCTTGCAAGGCAAAGGGACAAGTCCCAAGGCAACCTGAGAGGCCCTCTCAGAAGGAGCTGGGGCGCAAGCATGGGTTCCCCAGAATCAAATGGGGCTGAAGTGCCACCAACTGTCCCCACTGTCCCTGTAAACGCCCGCCACTTGCACCCATCATTCATTCACCAAGCACCCCCGAGGCGTCAGTGCTGGGCCCAGCGGGCCCTGGAAGGAGAACCAGGCATCGCCCCTGTCGATGGGGGCAGCGGCCAGGACAGAGGCCAGCACGCGGCGCGCGCGACAGGTCGGGGTCCACCCGACGCCCCCAGCCCTTCCCATGCCCCGCCCACCTCTCAGAGCGGAATGCGAGCACCTCCTCACCTTCCCTCTCCCACTTCCCGAACCCCACTCTTTTTCTTTTCTCCTCAGAACCCCGAAGCCTTCTCCAGCTGTTTGGGCTTTAAACGCCGGCTGCAGCCGCCGGCACCGGAAACGCCACGAGCCCCGCTTGGTTCGCGGCGTCTGCACCCTCGGAACTCTTCTGCGCAGCCCGGCTGTCGGAGAGCACTTTTTACAGAACACCGCTCGTCCACGCGTCCTCCTGCGAGTGGGACACCGTTCTGGAAAACAACTTCCGGTGTTTAACTTCCGGAGCTAGTTTTTCTGTGCTTGCGTCTGGCAGCCATCTTCCCCCCACCCCCGCCATCCTTAAGGGTCCTGACTCACTTCCTCCTCCTCCTCCGTTCCCAAACTGGCTTCCCGAGAGATGGCGCTCACACTTTGCATAAACTTGGAACAAGCGCCTGACCTAGAAATAAAATCGTGGCTCTCGATTCAAGTTTATTCGTCCCATTCTGCCAGTCGAGCAATAAGTAATTTTCAGGAGTCCTCTTCCATATGTGCCAGGCGCTGCTGCAGGCCCTGGGGACGAGGCAGCTTGCTCGCTAGGAGCTGCAGGCTGGATAGAGGGTGACAGCGAGCAGGAGGCGAGGACGCGAATTAACACGCAATTGGCGCTGTAACCTCTGCCCTGGGAGAAGAGATGAGGGGAATGAGGTAGGTAGGGAGCTCTCTGAGGATCTGATAGCGAAATAGACCTGCAGGAAGTGAGGGGGTAACGTGGTGATTATCTGAGAGCGGAGAATACACTGAGGAAGAAAAGGCGGTGGGAGCCAGGCGTGGTTGCGCATGCCTGTAATCCCAGTTGGCAGGATCTCAAAATTACTGTACATTCATGGCCAGCCTGGGCTACATAGGGAAACACTGTCCCTCCTAAAAAAAAAGAGACAAGAGTTGGGGATTCAGCTCAGCGGCGATGCGCCTACCTTGCTAGTGCAAAGTCCTGAGTTCTATCCCCAACACCAAAAAAAAAAGAGAGAGAGAGAGAAAATATACAGGTGACAAACACATGTAAATGTGTTCAACATCATTAACTGTTGGGAAATGCGAATTAGAATCGCAATGAGATAGCCGGGCCATGGTGGCACACACCTGTGAATCAGCACTCCGGAGGCTGAGGCAGCACGATTGCTGTGAGTTTGAGACCAGCCTGGGCTACATAGTGAGTTCCAGGTCAGTCTCATCTACATTGAGACCCTGCATCAATGCTGAGGCAGCACGATTGCTGTGAGTTTGAGACCAGCCTGGGCTACATAGTGAGTTCCAGGTCAGTCTCATCTACATAGTGAGACCCTGTCTCAAAAAAAAAAATCACAATGAGCCTACATACCTATCAGAATGCTGTTACAGCATGCCTATAGTCCCAGGACTCAGGAGGCTGAGGCAGGAGAATCACCTGGTTTGAGGGCAGCCTGGACTACAAATGGTGAGACCCTGTCTCAAAAAACAATCTGAAGGGGGCCAAGGATTCAGCTCAGTGGCACCATGCCTGCCTGGCAAGTGCAAGGTCCTTAGTTCAATCCCGGTTAAAAACAAACAAACAAAAAACAACAGAAAAGAATGATATGCTGCTCTTAAGATAAACTGGATCCACATTACTGTGGGAATGTAAGATAATACGCCCACTCTGAAAAAGTTTGACAGTTTCTTACAACACGAAACATGTGCTTGCCATGTGACCCAGCAGAAGTACTCTTGGACATTTATCCCAAAGAAACAAGAACTTCTGTTCACATAAAAACCTCTGTATAGCCAGGGATTTAGCTCAATGGCGCTGCCACCTGCCTTGTAAGAGCAAGGTCCCAAGTTCGATCCCTGGTACCAAAAAACAAACAAAACAAAACCCTTTGCATAAATGTTCACATGTAACACCCCAAGGCTAGGAACAACACAGATGTCATCCTCATCACAGAACATCCTTGTCATAGAACATTGCTCTACAATAAAACCAAATGACACACGCAACTCCTTAGATAGGTTTCAAAGGAATTATACTGATTGGAAAAAAGCTACTACTAGTGCCTGTAATCCCAGCTACTCAGGAGGCTGAGGCAGGAGGGCCACCTGAAAGAGGAATTCAAGGCCAGCTTGAGCCCATAGGGAGATGCTATCTAAAAAAAAAAAAAATTTGCAGCCAGGGATTTTGCTCAGTGGTTCCGCCACCTGCCTGCAAGGGCAAGGTTCCGGGTTTGATTCCAGTACCAAAAAATTAAAATTAAATTAACTTTTACAAAATAAAACACCTGTATTATTTCATTTATATAATGTGTGTTACTAGGGATCGACCCCAGGGCTTCACCTATGCTAAGTGTATATTCTACCACTGAGCTACACCTCATAGATAACATTTTGTTTTTCAGATAGTGTCTCACTACGTAGCCCACATGGCCTTGAACTCACTGGGCTCCTCCTGCCTCAGCCTCCCAAGGGCTGGGACCACAGGAGTGCACCACCATGCTGGGCTAGATAGCATTCTTTTTCTGGGGTGGAGAACTGGGGATTGGTCCTTGTGCTTTTGAGGCAGGCACTGGAATCACTGAGGTAAATCCCAGGCCCTAGATAACATTCTTGAAATAACAAATTCTTAGAGCAAGAGAATAGCTTGATCCTTTCCAGGAGTTACAGGCAGGGGAGGGGACCTATATGCATCTATAAAGGGGTGTCACAGGGAAGTTGTGGTGATGGTTGGTTCTGTATCTTGATTGGAATAGCAATTACATGAAGGTATATATAAAGTTGTGGTGGTACACCCCTGTAATCACAGTTACTCAGGAGGCTGAGGCAGGAGGATCTAAAGTTCCAAACCAGCCAGGTATGGTAGCTCACACCCCATAATTCCAGTATAGTATGACAGAGTTACGCACTCAGGAAGCTGAGGCAGGAAGATCGCCATAAATTTAAGGCAAGCCTGGTCTACACAGTGAATTCAAGGCCAGCCTGAACTATATAGTGAGATCCTGTCTCAAAAAAAAAAAAAAGAAAAGAAAAAAGAAAGAAAGAAAAGTCAAAGCTAGGCAATTTAGTGAAACCTTGTCTCAAAATAAAATTTTTTAAAAGGGCTGGGGACATAGTTGTATAATGCTTGCCTAGTATAAGCCATGGGTTCAAACCTCAGAAACCCCTCAAAATTGCATGAAACTGTAAATACCCAAAGAAGTCAGATTGCGTAAAACTGACATCAGACCACTGCACCTGGCCAACAGAGGAGTCTTCAGAGCTTGTTTAGTGGCTCAGGTCCACTGTTCCAGCACCTCTCACAACTCCATGGAAGCCACCTGGAGATTTGTTAGAGGCAGGTTTTGAGCCAGACACTAGGAAATAGAAAGGGCCCTCTCTTCCTAGAGGCCGTTCTAATTGTGGGATCCAGCCTCCCCTTCCTTTCCCACCTCTACACTCCACTGCAGGCTTCCACTGGCAAATGATCCAGCAATGCAAATCAGAAAGCTGTAAGAGCCAGGTGTGGTGCCATACACCTGTGATGGATTGCTGTGAGTTCGAGGCCACCCTGAACCACAAAGCAAGACCCTGTCTCTAAAGGAAGGAAGGGAGGGAGGGAGAAAAAGAAAGGAAGAGAGAGAGAGAGAGAGAGAGAGAGAGAGCAAGCCGGAAAGCTGGGCACGGTAGGGCACGCCTGTGATTCCCGCTCTCTTGGGAGGCTGAGGTAGGAGGATTGCTGTGAGTTCAAGTCCAGCCTGGACTACAAAGCAAGACCTTATCTCAAAAAACAAAATGAAAAGAGGAAAGAGAAGGGGAGGAGAAGGAAGAGAAGGAGAAGGAAGAGGAGAAGAAGGAGGGGAAGAGGAAGCAGAGGAGGAGAAGGACAGACCGCAGTAAAAATTTAACGTTAGGGCTGGGGATTTAGCTCATTGGTTCCGTCTGCCTCACAAACACAAGGTTCTAAGTTTGATCCCCATACCAAAAAAAAAGAATGTAAAGCTCAAAGGAGCTGGGTGTGATGGCACATGTCTGTAATCCCAGCACTCAGGGGACACCAAGCGTCACCAAAGGAGAAGAGAGCAGCTCCCCGGCTGCCTGGATCACACAAGAAAAATAACTCCCGCCTGCTGGTGTCAGATGCGCTGAGTTCCTGTCCCGTCCCCCATTATCAGAATGAATTCCAAGAGACAAAGAAGGTCAAGACGAGGAAAGCTCTGGAGAGACTGGCAGGAGCCAGTCCAGCAAGAGAAGGTGGACAGGCGAAAGGGACTCTGGGAAAGGAGGGGTGCACCGGCCAGGTGTTCAGGCTGCACACCTTGCCTGATGCCTACCTGGGCCTGGGGCACTGGTGCTAATTATACCAGCATCTCAGGTTGCTGTTTCCCTTGCAGGCCTGGCTGCTGCAGACCCAGCCTGAGGCTGGACTCTCTCTGTTTCTTAAAGCTATCTGTTTCTTTCTTTTTTTCTTTTCTTAATAGTACAGGGGATCAAACTCGGGACCTTGTGATTGCCAGGCAGGTAGTGGAACTACTGCTTTAGATCCCTGGCCCCTCTCTGTTTGGGAAAGGATTTGCATGCAGGGCAGAGAGGCGGCAAATGCAGCTATGAGGGGTTGGGAAAGCAGCCAAGAGCAAAGGTACGAGCAGGAAAGGAGAGGAGATGTGAAGAACGGAGCAGATGCGGCAGGCAGAGGCCTGGGGGAAACTGGAGATGAGACGGCCAGGCCAGAGTCTTGAGCATTTGTTTAGGAAGCAAAGAATTAAAATTAAAATTAATGGCAAGCCCTGCTGGGCGTGGTGGCACACACCTGTAATCCTAGCACTCAGGAGGCTGAGGCAGGAGGATCACTGTGAGTTCGAGACCAGCCTGGGCTACATAGTGAGTTCCAGGTCAGTCTCAACTACACAGTGAGACCCTGTCTCAAAAAACCAAAAAAAATTAATGGCAAGCCACTGAAGCTTTGGGGCCAGGACAGTGGCATGCATTAGAGATACTTTAAAGTTCAAAAACTAGGGCCAAGGATTTAGCTCAGGGGTTTCACTGCCTGCCTTGCAAGTGCAAGGGCCTGAGTTCAATCGTTTTTGCCTCTGTCTCTTCCTGCTTCACACACCGCAGCCCTTTCTTTTCCAGTTCTGATCACAAGCCATCCTCTTGTACCTTGGACTTCAGCCTCCCACCTCTACTAGCTCTGGCAGGAGCCAGTCCAGCAAGAGAAGGTGGACAGGCGAAAGGGACTCTGGGAAAGGAGGGGTGCACCGGCCAGGTGTTCAGGCTGCACACCTTGCCTGATGCCTACCTGGG